CTGCATACAAAACACATACAGAAAATATATCGTCATAATCATGTCTATTTGCTTTCATATTTCATGTGTAGAAAAATGTTTACATTTGTTTTTTTAAACACGGAAGACCTAGAGAGTTAACGTGACTCATAACTCTCGCGCACATGGAAGAAAACGGACACTCCAGATCACATAATTCAATGGAGAATTTAGAAATTATATTAAGAACATGTGAGAATAAATCTGTTCTCAGATACCAAAGATAACAGGAACTCAGCATCCACTCTCTATTCTCTACCATAGACTGTATAAAAACATGGACGTAGTGTCCGTGACGTCACCCGTAGATTTCCGAAGAGCGTTTTTGAAGCTCAAAAGTCGCCATCTTGGCAGCGCGTCACCGCGCGTCACTCCCGGAAAATCGAAGATGGGCAAAGAGGCGGGAGCTGGTTGCTGAAGCCACGCCCACATAGCTCGACGGTGGTGACAGCAGCGGCAATCCACCTGTCACTCAAGTGGCCACGCCCTTAATCATGCAGAACTTTAAGGCTTAATATAATTTAAACGGATGAGTTATAAAAAAAAATTCACCCCCCTCACAGTTGTCATCAAGGGCAAAATTAGCTATATAGACCAAAATAATTTTTTGAACCAGGCTGTAAACATGGTTTTTTCTGCTGTAAAGTTGGGCATTTTAACATGGGGAGTCTATGGGATTGACTCCCTTTTGCAGCCAGCCTCTAGCGGCCAGTTGATGAATTACAGTTTAAGTCACTTCCTTGTTGGCTTCACGAGAGAGAGCGGGAGGTTACCGCTTGCTCTCTACCGGGATATTCTTCTTCGGTGTTTGTTTACACTGGTTTTCGAAACAGCGCCACCGCTCTCACCCTTTTGTGCAACAACATCTGCTCTGGGCACGTGTTCTAAGCTCAAATCTGATTGGACAGCCTGTTTCATCGTGGAGCGACGGGGAAAAAACGACACACAGGACGAAAAAAAAAATTCTCGCTTTTTCGCACCGCGAATGATCGCGCCTGGTGTGAATAGCCCCATAGGGATCTATTGTTTCGATTCAAAAGCGGCATCGCGCCGAACATTCACGCCGAATTATCGCTTTCAGTGTGAAAAGCCCTTAAGGCTGTCAAATCTATTAATCGTGTTTACATAATATATGTGTACATATTCACAGTACATACACATATATTATTATGTAAACAAACTTTTATTTTGGGTGCGATTAATCACGATTAATAGATTTGACACTCCTACTTTACTGTCACTTTTGATCAATTTAATGCATCCTTCCTGAATAAAAGTAATATTACTGTCTCCAGACTTTTGTATGGTAGTATATATATATATATATATTTTTTTTTTTTCCTAATTTTAAAGCTCAGGTTACAGTGTTTACAAGTTTTACAATTCTAATCACCTGAAGACAACACTACGACCATGAAACCAGTTTAACATCTCCAAACAAACAACAGAAAGCTCTTCAAAGCAGCAAACAATATCAGGTGTTCAATTGCAGCTGTGCTGAATGCAACTCTAGGAAGTATGGAAGTACAGAACAAACTGAAGCCATAGAGAATGAACAATACGCATTTCTCTGACAGAACACCAGACAGAAAACTGCACTGTGTTGACAAGAGAAATGCTCGATCCACTCTTGTTTACTACATTCTCTCGACTCGTCTCAGAGGTAACAGACACATGATGAACAAGCAGTACATGATTGCAATACAGAGTAAAATCATGCACGACATCAGAAAACTTACAAAGACAGACCGACAGAAATGCAGGAAAAACAGAGGCTTAACATGAAGGGGATCAATAACTAGAATAACTAGGCTAACATCCACACACACATGTGCTGTGGCTGCGTACCTGCTGATGCGGGGCAGGTAGTGTGTGATGGCGGGCAGGCCGTTAGAGACGGAATGATGCACCAGCAGCAGAACGGAGAGAGAGACCAGCACGGCAGAGTTGATGACCACCGCTCCCCCCACGAAGCCAAAGACAAACAGCAGCATGCATCCCGGACTCATGGCTGCTGCCGCCCCCCGATACACGAAAACAACCCCATCAACACCGGCACAGCAGCGCGAGGATCTGTGTGTGTGTGTGTGTTTGAGCAGCCTCTAACTGCTGTGACATCATCCACTCCGGCGAGCAGCGAACACACACACACACACACACATACGCATGAGCGGGTTTACAGCAGCTGTCTGTCCTTGTGTGTTGCTCACGCACTCCTCTGATGCTTCATGAACAGCTCTTATGCACTAATTCTGTATGCATTTGCTGTTTTCCATTCCACAGCTGATTGGATGTGGGAACAGATGAGTTTATGCAGATTAGATAGAACAACAAACACACTCCAGCTCGTCTCCAGGGTCGACCGAAATGTGTTTTTCAGGGCCGATGCCGATACCGATTATTACAGATCAAGTAGACCGATAACCGATATTTTGAACCGATATATGTCTGGTGTAAAAATTAAAATTAATGTCAAAGTTAAGAATAACAAAGGCTCTGACAAAAACTTTCTTTAAATGCTTTTAAATTATTTTAGCGGCAAATCGGTTTAGAACATGACCGATAACCATAAAAAAAGCTTAATATCGGTGCCGATAATCGGTCAACCCCTACTCCAGAGAAAACAAAAGCACAATCCACCTGCTAACAGGTGTCAGGGGAATGAATCCCGGACTTTGAAGTGCATGCATTGTATTTACGCAATTTTAAATAAACAAAATGCAGCTTGTTATCTGGCATTATGCATATTAAATACAGCAAGCTTTTTCTGTCTTTAACACTGAGTATAAAACTATGGAAGCCCATTTCCGCCACTGAATAAAATATAAAAAAAGGTAATTGCGACTTTTTATCTCGCAATTGTGATTTTATTTCTCAGAATTGCGACTTTATTTATCAGAACTGTGACTTTATATCACACAATTCTGAGAAAAAAGTCAGAATTTTGAGATATAAACTCGCATTAAATTATATAAAAAGAGATATAAAAAGTTGCAATTCTGAGAAATAAAATCACAATTGTGAGATATAATATAATTACGAGTTTATATCTCGCAGTTCTGACTTGATAACTTGCAGCTGCGACTTTATATCCTGCAATTCTGACTTAATTTCACGCAATTGCGAGTTTATATCAAGCAATTCTGAGAAAAAAGTCAGAATTGTGAGATAAAAACTCACAATTACCTTTTTTTATTTCTTATTCAGTGGCGGAAATGGCTTCCATATAAAACACATTGTTCTTTAAAGTCAATGCTGGAATAAAAATAATTCATTGTACAAAAACAAAAAGGTTTTGGTGTTTGAGCTTGAATGTTGAAGGGAACAACTTTTTATACCACATACTAATGCTGCACGATTATGACAAAATTCATAATTGTCGATTATTCCCTTGAAATTGTAATTGAGATTATTAATGATTACGATTATCACAATTTACATTGAATGATGTTTATACCATTGTTTGAAACAACCGCATGCCATATTTTTAGATGAAAATAAGCTGAAAACACTCTAACTGAAAAACTTGTATTGCTTTTCTATTGTATTAAGCAGCAAATGTCAACTATACATTGGATTGTTTTTTTTCTTTAAGTAAAAGAAGTAAAAACATGCATGGTATTATATAATGTTATACTACAACTAAAATTAAAACCTTAAAGATAACCTGTAGAAAGAGAAATCTTAAGCATCTTAAGCATGCAGAATAACAAAAGTGGACTTTGAACGATTACCTAATTTGATTAAATTGGGCAGCCCAACCACACACTGCTGTTTTTCCGAACACTTTGATTTGACACGATCACATTTTTAAAATAATCCCATAATCCTCTCAGCAGATGGATCCATCTATAAACCAACAGTCGTGTCCTTCACAAGCAACACATGATTCTCACGACACTTGTAACATGGTTCAGTCCTGAACGGGGGTTTTCAAACTGTGGTCCGGTCTGAAAATTTGAGTGTAAAAAAAGCTTATTGAATTTAACATTTATTATTATGGTTTCATTCTGCTTTCTCATGTCTGAAAATCATAAGATTAATTGCGATTACTTCATTCTACGACAGTCACAGTTTAAAATTTTTTTTAAATTAAACCAAATCTTCATAGTCCATAGTTATACAAGATTTTTTTAAGGAACTTAATATTTTAATTTAGCAAAGATGCATTAAATTGATCAAAAGTGTCAGTAAAGATATTTATAATGTTACTTACAAAAGATTTATATTTTAAAAAATGCTGTTCCTTTGAACTTTCTGTGCATCTGTGAATCCTGAAAAATACAACGCATCTCGGTTTCCACAAAAATATTGTGCAGCACAACTGTTTTCAACATTGATAATAATCAGAAATGTTTCTCGAGCATCAAATCAGCATATTAGAATGATTTCTGAAGATCATGTGACACTGAAGACTGGAGTAATGATGCTGAAAATACAGCTGCGCATCACAGAAATAAATTACAGTTTAATAGATATTCACATAGAAAACAGCGGTTTTAAACTGTAATAATATTTCACCATTTTTACTGTATTTTAGATCAAATAAATGCAGCCCTGGTGAGCAGAAGAGACGTATTTCAAAAACATTACGAACACAAATCTTACTGACCACAACCGTTTGAACAGAGGAAGTGTAAATATTTTACAGATATTTCGTATAGTCAAATGAAAATATAAAAGCCAATTAATTTAATTTAGCAAACAACATGTTGTCTTTATAATATCAGATAGGCTAGAGCCAGCCATCACTGAAACCCTTGTAGAAACCATTAATTATAGCTTGCTTTATACACACAGAAACTGTGTAGGTGTAGTGTTTCTGAATGAGAGCGAGATCAGAAACCTCACCTAATTCTGCTCTGACTCGCAGTGTCTGTGGTCTCTCCCGTCATCTGCTGGTATTTGCTACGTTCCAAGTGCTCAATGTAACTGTGGATCATCTGTGAATGCAAACACACACATTATTGGTTGATGACAGCAGCAACCTTTTCGGCCCTAAATGCACTAAAGGAAGACATGACTAAATCTGCATTTGTCCTCTGCTCGAGCTTGTCTCCTAATCTAGCTTTCTAATAAACATGGCACTGCATACTGTGCATATTGTTGGCTTTTTTTTAACAAACTGCTTAGGCGATTCTTGAAATGCATGAGCAAATTCTAAGAAATTCTTACCTTTGTGTGTCTCTGATGGAGAGCATTGTACTCTTTCTTCAGCTCGGCTTCACGCTCCTCTAATCTTCCAACTAAAAACAGAGCATGTTTAATGCTATTTTTATGTGTTTAAATATAAACGTGTACATGCATGTAGGCTTTCCTGTAAGGATCTGAACTATACTGCAGTAACAACACACAGCCAGAAGGGGTCAGTAGAGCAACAGAAATATAGTAACATATGCTAACAATTCATATTTTACATCTCTCATTATAAGGTGTTCCAACTGTAAACGCTTGAAAAACAATATAGAAGGAAAATGTCCAGACAAAATGTTCATAGTAGCATGTTTTTGCTGTCTTGTCATCTCAGTGAAACGGTAAGGAAAAGTCCCATGTGACCCGATGACTGAGAATTAAAGGAAGGAGAGCAGAAGTTCCTGTGGTGTATCTTCATCATCCTCATCCTCAGCCGAAGCCTATCACTCTTTACTTAGGAATACGCCTTCATTATATCATGTCTGCTCTTACCTAGGGCTGGGCGATATGGCCAAAAAAAGATCACGATTAAATTTTCCATATCAGTCGATATCGATAATTATCACGATAAATGTCAAATCTTTATTTCTTTCAAGTTTAAAGCCAGATTTTTGCTCCTAAGTGGAAGTTGTAGAAACCAGACCGTTATTTATGGTTTTAAACTACTCATTATGGTCAGAACATGACAAACACGTTACGCTTTTGAATTCTTTACACTTTTTATTTTTCCTGAACAAAATAAATATCTTCATAGAAAAATTAATTTCTTTGCTTCTGCATGTTCTAATGAGTGATATCGTTTCAAATCATGAAACAGGTTTGTGTTCCTGACTTTGATTGTGTGTACCTTCAGCACAGTTTGCAGTGCAGCCTCCAATATTAATAATAAAAATAATATACATATGTGACCCTGGTGCACAAAACCAGTCATAAGGGTCAATTTCTCGAAATTGACATTTGTGCATCAGCTGAAAGCTGAATAAATAAGCTTTCCATTGATGTATGGTTTGTTAGGATAGGACAATATTTGGCCGAGATACAACTATTTGAAAATCTGGAATCTGAGGGTGCAAAAAAATCTAAATATTGAGAAAATCATCTTTAAAGTTGTTCAAATGAAGTTCTTAGCAATGCATATTACTAATCAAAAATTAAGTTTTGATATATTTACAGTAGGAAATGTACAAAATATCTTTATGGAACATGATCTTTACTTAATATCCTAATGATTTTTGGCATAAAAGAAAAATCTATAATTTTGACCCATACGCACATTTGACAGTAGCTTGAGTTAGGATGCAGATGTAAATTAATGTTTATAATCAAAAACAGTCATAACATCTGTAAAAAAAATTGTAACAACCTCATTTTTATATGGTTAAATGTAATTATTCTGACTGTTTGAGTTTTATTCAAATTAGCCATTGGTAGCACACATTTAGATCATGATAACCACAGTGAAAACCACACATATAGCACCTCAATACCATGGTAAAAATGTAACTACATGGTTTCTAGGTATTTGTATGAGAAACAGTAGTCTAAACACATTTGGTATAAATGCACAAATGCTATAGCTTAATCACAAAAATACTGTAATTATATTCCATTCATTACTCCTTTAATACATTAAACACATGCACTCTAAAAAGTGTGGGGTTGTTTCAACTCAACTTTGGGTCAAATATGGACCTTTTAATTTAAATTTTTAGTCCATATTTGACCCAAAGTTGGGTTGAAACAACCCCACACTTTTTAGAATGTATCTACATTAATAATATAATAAAATTTGATATGAATATCCCACATTTCTGCCACAATACCATGGTGCAGCTAGTGTTACTACAGTAAATCCATGGTAAATGATGCCGATTTGTAGATTGAAAAGCCTTCTTTATATTGCAATAATTATATAGTTGTATCGCCCAGCCCTACTCTTACCGCTAGTAAATGTATGTCAATATCAAGGTAACATATCAAATATTCATATATGAATTGCTGGCGATATCAAATAAAGCCACTTTGTGAATATGATGATTATTAAGTTCGACTGTCAAGCTTCCTAAAAGCGGTCATTACACTAGTTTCGCAAAAGACCCCAAACTTTTGAACAGTAGTGTTGCTGCATATAAAATATAATTTTTCCTGGCTTCCTGCCTCGATTAATGCATCTACATTTTAGTTGCATTAAACATTTCTAATCTACATGGCAACAAAAGCTGATTGGTCGTAATTATAGTTCATGTGACTGGAAAAAAAAAATCTAATGAAAAGAGTCACAATTCAAAACTAGCATTTAGAAATTAGAAAGGCTTCATAAGGTTGATTTATTATAACATCTAGGAATATTAAAAGTAAGTATGGGAACATAGTGAGTGAATAAAAGTGTGTTTCCTTGACAGCTGTTCATCATATCACATCAAACAAGTGCCGTTTATGGTTACAGTAGGGAAATAGAAAAGAGTTTCTGTTAACCACAAAATGGGAAGTTCTTGCACTAACACAACGGACTGAATCACTTCAGGTCAGAAATACAGGGAACACGTTCTAATCCTCATTCGATGGCATTCAGTCGATGTGATTCAGTAGGCGAGTTCAGCGGCCCTTAAGCTGTAATCCAGCTCAGCCCAACACTGCGTGTGATTCTCAGTCAGTCTGATCAGTGTTTAAGAGAACGAAAGCTTGGTCTCGCTTCACAGGGAAGAGTTCACCTGCCGAACCCCATAATGATCCAAAGACAGGGAGCAATTTCCAGCTGGTTTATGAAGACTTAACTAGAGAACAGGGCTCTGCAAGATGGCTAAAATAAAATTACATCTCAATATTCTTATTTATCTCAATATTCAGTATATATTAGGGATGTAACGATTCACTCAACTCACGATCCGATCTGATTCACGATTTTGATTTCACGATTCAAGTGAAATTGAAATATAACACTATAATAATATACTAATAGGCCATATTATTGCTCTTTTGTTGATTTTGATTGCTTCTATTCTCCTCATTTGTAAGTCGCTTTGGATAAAAGCATCTGCTAAATAACAAAATTTAAATATAATGTAAATGTAAATAGCAAAACTAAATAGAAATTTGTAAACAAAGCAGCGCTGCACTTATGAACTTTAATATGCATTCTACAGAGGCAAGATGAAAAGAAAAAATGCCATCGAAACTTTTCTAAAGACAGTAAGTTCCCTTCAGACATACTTTCATATAAACTCCTACCCCAAAATGAATCGCGATTTGTTTAGCATCTTAACCGATTTGAATCATCACATATTTGAATCGATTTTCAACCGGCTCGCGGTTCACCGTTACATCCGTAATATATATCTTGATATAGAAAGAGTAAAAATGTAGACACATCGGTTCTGCTGCAGGCTATAGGATGACTTTAAAATATTTAAATCGTTATTAATATATTTTTAAAAATCCAACTCTAAATTTAAATGCAAAAAAAAAATCATATTGTTTTCTTATTGTCCCTCTATAGCTATTTTTTATAATAAAAAGAGCATTTAGCACAGTTCTTGAAACTTCTGGAATCACAAAATGAATCATGGTTAATTAGTTTAATATATTAACACTTCCAGTTTCTGTTAAAAGAAAAAAGCTTTGTTATAGTTAAAGTAGAAATACTGGCAATATCTACGGTGAAAAAGGTTGAGAAGCACTGAATTTTAAATTAACCTTCATTTCATATTGAACAGCCATTGCATATTCTAAATTTCCAATGCAAGAACTAAACAATAAAAATGCAGCTAAAATAATGAATAATTAGCTCCGGTGAGAATATGCTAGTCTCGTGAGAACTAAGTTTTGTTTACAGCTAAGGAAAACCTCACGAACGTGTGTATGACAGTTAGCGGAAGCTAGAGATTATGGTTTATAAAGTTTTAAATATGGATATTTTTCTTACACAAACGAATCGTTTCGCTTCAGGAGGCCTTTATTAAACCCCGGGGCCGTGTGAGGCACTTTTTATGATGGATGGATGCACTTTTTTGGACTTCAAAATCTCGACACCCATTCACTGCCATTATAAAGCTTGGAAGAGCCAGGACATTTTTTAATATAACTCCAATTGTATCCGATTGTAAAGAAGAAAGTCATACACACCTAGGATGGCTTGAGGGCGAGTAAATCATGAGCTAATTTTCATTTTCGGGTGAACTGTCCCTTTAAGGCATGTTTTACACAATGTTATTCACTACATGAACATGGAGGAGTTATATTTGTAATTAATATTTAAATTTAAACTAACCATCTACAATCATTTTCATTGATATACACCAATATAACAATACAGATGAATAAACAGTAGTGCTGTCAAGCGATTAATCGCATCCGAAATAAACGTTTTTGTTTACATAGTATATGAGTGTGTACTGTGTATATTTATTATGTATATATAAACACACACACATGCATGTATATATTTATGAAAAATGTTATGTTTATGTATTAAATATATTCATATATAATATAAATTATAATAATATAAATGTATATATAAATATTTTCAAAATATATACTGTATGTGTGTGTATTTATTTATTTATATATACATAATAAATAAATACAGCACACACACATACATTATGTAAACAAAAACTTTTATTTTGGATGCAATTAATTATATATTTATGTTCTTGTATTTTATATTATATACAAATATATTTAATATATTAACAAACATTTTCTTAAATATATGCATGCATGTGTTTGTATTTATATATACATAATAAATATACACAGTATACACATATACTGTATATTATATAAACAAAAACTTTTATTTTGGATGCGATTAATCGCGATTAATCGTTTGAAAGCACTAATAAACAGCAATATATATATATTTTTTTTTTTACTACACATAAATTGATGTAAGATACTGATCTAAATGTGAAATTTTGAAGTTGAAAAACTGAAATAGTATTTTCTTATTTTCTTACAACTTAAAAAAAAAAGATTTGTCTCTTAAAATGTTATTAAAACAGCACAAGGATAACTTTTTAACTCAAATAAAAAAAAAGTTACACAAGCAAATATTTGAACGAGTTGTGAATATTGAGCACATTACCCGGCTCTTCGAGGTAAAGCAGGTAACTTACTCTGGTCTGCGTAGTTCTTGGTCTTGAGCTCCATCTGTCTGGTTTGAGCCTCCAGCATCTGCACACGGTTCTGAAGATCTTTCTTATCCTGCTCTTGAGAGTCCTCATACTCAATATATCTCTAGAGGACACAGAGAGAGATTTTCCACACTGAGATATTTCTACAGGTACACTGTAGAGTGTAAGTCCCTTTTGCTTCCCAAGGCTGCATTTATTTGGTCAAAAATACAGTAAAAATTGTGAAATATTATTATAATTTAAAACAGCTGTTTTCTATGTGAATATGTGTTAAACTGTAATTTATTCCTGTGATGTGCAGCTGTATTTTCAGCATCATTACTCCAGTCTTCAGTGTCACATGATCTTCAGAAATCATTCTAATATGCTGATTTGCTGCTCAAGAAACATTTCTGATTATTATCAATGTTGAAAACAGATGTGCTGCACAATATTTTTGTGGAAACTGTGATGCATTTTATTTTTCAGGATTCATAGATGAATAGAAAGTTCAAAAGAACAGCATTTATTTTAAATCTGTTGTAACATAAATGTTGTGTCTTTACTGTCACTTTTGATCAATTTAATGCATCCTTGATAAA